TTTTTTTTTTTTTTTTTTTTTTTTTTTTTAACCCCAAACCACATGGAATGGAGAATATGCCCAAAATTCTTAATCTTAGGATGAATATTATTGATTCATGGATCCCAGTATCTGTTCTTTTATTCTCAGAACTTTAGTTAACTCAGTTTTGTACTGGTTCACTTCACTTCAGATGTGATACCCTTAGAACTTTGTGCCATCTCTCTGTCTCTGAAGGGACAAAAAGCATTATATTTAAAGGGTGAAAATAGTAACTTAGATTCGTGTGTAAAATATTTAAAGAACTTGTGGCTTTTTCATATAATCTCTCATTTATTTTCTTTTGTTACCTACATGAGTTCATAGAAGCAGGTAGTTTTCTTCTTTCATGCAGAACTCAAGAACAGATGAAATACTTCATTTTGATAGATTTATCGATTTACACAGGGCCACACCATGTCAGTAGCAGGGATAACTTTGGAAATCTTAGTCCCAGTAAATTGTGCTGCATTAGGATATTAGAATTGTATTATTATTATTATTTTTTTTTTTGAGACAGAGTCTCCCTCTGTTGCCCAGGCTGGACTGCAATGGTGCAATCTCAGCTCACTGCAACCTCTACCTCCCCTCTTCAAGCCCTCCGAGCAGCTGGAACTACAGGCACCTGCCACCATGTTCAGCTCATTTTCCTATTTTTAGTGGAGACAGGGTTTCACCATGTTGGTCAGGCTGGTCTTGAACTCCAGACCTCAAGTGATCCACCTACCTCAGTCTCCCAAAGTGCTGTGATTACAGGGGTGAGCCACTGTGCCTGGCCAGAATTTGATTCTTGATTAAGGTATTTTGACAAGCTTTTTACTCCACAGAAATCATTTAGCTTTCCATATTCCATACCTAAGTATAATACTTTGTATTTGCATTACTTATAAGCTTATTAAAAATACCACAAAACCTAAAAGTTTAACTTTTTAAAATTAAAAAAAAAAATTTATTTATTATTTTCTCTTAGGGATAGGGTGACATTCTTGTCCAGGCAGGAGTGCAGTGGTGTAATCATAGCTCAATGTAACCTTAAACTCCTGGGCTTAAGGGATGCTCTTGTCTTAGCCTCCCAAATAGCTAGGACTACAGGTGCATGCCATTTCACCTGGCTAATTAAAAAACATTTTTTTCTGTTTGTAGAAATAAGGTCCTGCTGTGTTGCTCAGGCAGGTCTCCCACTTTGGCCTCCTAAAGTGCTGGGATTATAGGTGTAAGCCACTGTGCCTAGCCTAGGGTTTGTGGTTTTTAAATTAACAAACATGATAAAAATATCATTAGATTTGAGGTTAGGAAAATCTTAGTATTAAATATTAGAGTGGTTCTGTTTATTTAAAGTATGTGTTTTACTGTTGTTAAATGACTCACACAGTATTTCAGATGTTTGGCTTAAAATTTCTAAAATGTATTTTTTGTTGACAAACTAGAAGGAGTAACTGCCTGTTTTAACAGGAAGAAAAAATTTGTACACGATGTTACTTTTCCTGATAAATAGCCACTGATTGTAATCAGGATTTATTTGTTTAAAATTCACTTTCAGGTTTGGCAAATACGTGTAGACCTACATTTATTAAATCATGATGGAAATATTATTGATGCTGCCAGCATTGCTGCAGTCGTGGCCTTATGTCACTTCCGAAGACCTGATGTCTCTGTCCAAGGAGATGAAGTAACACTGGTAAGCTCTTATGTGACCAGGATCCTTGATATGAATGAATGAGGAGTGTCCTAAATGTGCAGGCAACTTGCTTTTAGTGAAGTTATGTTGCAGATGGCAACTTGGTTGGTTCTAAAATTTGTTCATAAGACTAAAATTGCACATGGTCAAAATTGCCCTTGAAATCTCTTACATTTCCTCTATTGAAACATCTGTCAGTAAGAACATACCCTAGCCTGGTTTTCCAGAATAGAATCGATGACTCTTTTGGACTGAGCATTAAATGAAGTGGTTGACTTATGTTTAGGGGCCATATGTGTGAAAAATACATGACTCTCAGCACAGTGAGTTGCTTACCCTCCAAGAGGCATGCAGTAGCTGAAAAGGACTGAGGAATCAGCAGATTTATATTTGTCTCCAGGACTTTTGTTCATTAAGCAAAGAGATGGCAAAAGTCCATCAGAAATACGTGGAGGGCTTGTTAAAACATACTGCCAGGCTCTACTCCTAAAGTAAAACAGTGCTAGGACTTAAGAATTTGTGCTTCTAACTTTGAATTCTTAGGTAATACTGATGTTGCTGGTCCAGGGAGCACATTTTGAAAACCATTGACCTATGTTGTCTTTATGTTTTGTGCTGAGTATGTCAGTTTTGATTTATGTAAATTACATGCTAGAGGCCAGGCGCGGTTGGCTCATGCCTGTAATTCTAGCACTTTGGGAGGCCGAGGCAGGCTGATTGCCTTAGGTCAGGAGTTTGAGACCAGCCTGGGCAACATGGTGAAACCCCGTCTCTACTAAAATACAAAAAAATTAGCTAGGTGTGGCAGTGTGCACCTGTAGTCCCAGCTACGTGAGAGGCTGAGGCAGGAGAATTGCTTGAACCCTGGAGGCAGAGGTTGCATTGAGCCGAGATCGCATCACTGCACTCCAGCCTGGGGGACAGAGCAAGACTCCATCTCTAAAAAAAAAAAAAAAAAAAAAAAAAAAAAAAAAAAAAAAAAAAAAAAAATTACATGCTAGAATAATGAAAGTACACAAGTGCACTGTATTTACAGTTTGAGTCCTGAACTTGCAAAAGAAAACATCAGATGCCCAAATTTTTTAAGCAGTGATTCATAATTTTGTTTCTGGGCAGTAGACTGAAGCAGAACCATTAAAAACTGAGGAGTAGGGACAAAGGTTTGTTAACAGTAGTGGTAATATTCTTTTAGAGGAGAGAGTTTATATAAGGAAGTAAAAAAAAAAAAGTAGAGAGCGATTACTAGACTTGAAAAATCAATTAAGGAATACTGTGATGTTTTTGCTAGTGGGAATGTAAAATGGTACAGCCATGTTGGAAAAGTTTGGCAGTTTTCTTAAGTTTTAAGTGTAGACAACATTCTATATGCAGAAAAATAACAATAGAAGAAAATACTCCCTTTTTTTTTTTGGAGACAGGGTCTCATTCTTTTATCCAGGCTAGGGTGCAGTAATGTGATCTTAGCTCACTGTAACCTCTGCCTGTTAGACTCAAGCAGTCTTCTTGCCTCAGTCTCCTGAGTAGCAGGGACTACAGGCATGTGCCACTCACCTGGCTAATTTTTGTATTTTTTGTAGAAATACAGTTTCACCAAATTGCCCAGGCTGGTCTTGAACTCCTGGTTCAAGGGATTCTCCCACCTTGGCCTCTCAAAGTGTTGGAATTTCGAGTGTGAGCCACCATGCCCAGCTGGAAATACACTTCAGCAGATTTTGACCTTGTCATAATAAATTACAATGACTTAAAATTAGGGGAAAAAATATTCCAGTAATTTCATTCCTAAGAATCTACAGGAGGAATAAGAGATTATTATGTTCATTCAAAGACTTGAATGCAAATGTTTATGGCATCATTTATTAGCCAGAAACTAGAAACAGTCCAAATGTCCAGCTGGTGAATAGATAAAATGTGGTATCAATAATGGAATACTGTTCAGTGATGAAAAGAACTGAACTACTGATAAGTGCTCCAAGGTACATGAAACATGCTAAGTTGAAAGAAGCCAGGTGTAAAACATTACAATTTTTTTCCCCCATTTATATAGAATGGTCAGAAAGTCAGATTTATAGAGACAGAAAGAAGATAAATCAGTGGTCGTTTAGGGCTAGGGTAGAAGTACACCAAACTCCTATGGACTACAGACAGATTCAGAGGAATTTTGGGGAGTAATGGAAATGTTAAAAAAAAAAACTAGATTGTGGCTATGGGTCTGTAAATGTATCCATAACTCTGCATTTACTAAAAATTGAATCATATACTTAAAATGAGTGAATTTTATCGGATGTAAATTATACGTCAGTATATTTTTGAAAAAGCTTTTTGAAAAAGTTGCAGTTTGAGGAACGTGAGTGGCAAAATCAAACAGGTAATTATTAATATAAAAGAAGTTATTTGGGTACTCAAAGGATTAAAGGAACTTCATTTTTTATTTTAGTATTTAATGTGCAAGGTGATTTTTTTTTGCATGTTCATAAATTAGTGACTATAATTATTAAACATTTTCTTTTGAAACAGTATACACCTGAAGAGCGTGATCCTGTACCATTAAGTATCCACCACATGCCCATTTGTGTCAGTTTTGCCTTTTTCCAGCAAGGGTAAGCCTCACCTTGTCATGGGCCAAAATTACAAATGCAGCTAGGAATTTTATTGCTCTACTCAAATGTCATGTTAACATTAATATTCTTTCTTTGTAAGGGCATTAGTTGACAAAGAGCTTTCTCAATAGAAGTAACAAAACACTTATACTATGATGAAGATACTTCCTAACATTTTTCTTTTCATGGCGTACTTAAAAACTTAGGCATTTACTATGGCATGGTAGTGTCTTATGTTTCCTAAGGATGTGCAGGGGTTAAGAGAATTATATGCTAGGCTCTAATTTGGGAAAGTTGGGTAAGATTTACTCTGAGTTATTGGAAGATAGGGGCCTTTGGAGCATATTAGATGGAGTAGTTCTAGAAGTGAGTTACAAGGGAGGAAGAGTCACAAACTGGCAGAAAAAAAAATCCAGTGTTCTTCAGTTTTCCAGCGGTTTCTTTACTTTGCTAAATCCTCCTGTGGCAGAACACTTGGAGTTTTTCAGGTCCATTTAATCGTACTTTCAAATGAAAACTTGAGCCTTAAATTTCTTTAGAAACAGGGGAGATAAAAATAAGATGTTTCACACAGTGTTGTGCATAAGGACTAGAGAAAAACTTTCAAGTTTTAGTCATTGTAGTATAGAGTTTCATCAGAGGTAAATGGGCCAGCATTGTCCAGTAGAAATAAAATGTGAACCATATATGTAATTTCCTTTTTTCTTTTTCTTTTTTTTGAGATCAAGATCTGGCTGTGTCACCCAGGCTGGAGCACAGCAGCATGATTTTTGTTCACTGCAGCCTCTGCTTTCTGGGCCCAAGCAATTCTTCAGCCTCAGCCTTCGGAATAGTTGGGACTACAGGCGTGCACCACCATGCGCAGCTAATTTTTGTACTTTTTTCAAAAAAAAAAAAAAAGATTTTGCCGCATTGCCCAAACTGGTCTGGAACTCCTGAGCTCAAAAGTTACCTGGCTCAAAAGTTATCAGCCTCCCAAAGTGCTGGGATTACAGGGATGAGCCACCATGCCTAGCTGTTTAAGACAAAGTCTCCCTCTGTCACCCCGGCTGAGTCCAGTGACATGATCATGGCTCATTGCAGCCTCAATCTCCCAATCTCCCAGGCTTAAGTGATTCTGCTGCCTCAGCCTCCTGAGTATCTAGGACCACAGTTGCACACCATGCACATCTAATTTCTTTATTTTCTGTAAAGATGGGATCTCACTATATTGTCCAGGATAATCTCAAACTCCTGGGTTCAAATGATCCGCCCATCTCCACCTCCCAAAGTACTGGGATTATAGGCCTGAGCCACCATGCCCACACCCAGCCTTTGCTATTTTTTAAACAGTTTTTTATTTTTTGTGATAAGGTTTCACTCTCACCCAGACTGGAGTGCAGTGGTCTGATCATAGCTCACTGCAGCCTCCAACTTCTGAGCTCAAGTGATCCTCCCACCTCAGCCTTCCAGGTAGCTGGGACTACAGGTGTGTGCCATACCTGGCTAATCAAAAAAAAATTTTTTTTTTTTTTATAGAGACAGGGTCTCACTTTGTTTCCCAGGCTGGTCTTGAACTCCTGGGCTCAAGTGATCCTGCAGTCTTGGCCTCTCAAAGTGCTGGGATTACAAGTGTGAGCCACTATGCCTGGCCTCATATATGTAATTAAAAATTTTCCAGTAGTCACATTAAAAAGTTAATGTTTATATATTTTAATTAATATATACAAAATATTTTCATATTAAGGAAATAAATTAATAATCAGTATTTTAATAATTACTCATGAGACAGTCTACATTCTTTTATTTCCACTAAGTCTCTGAAATCCAATATTTTACATACTTAGTTTGGGCTGGTTACATTTCAGAGGCTCAGTAACCACAGATGACTATTGGCTAATATACTGGAAAGTGCAGAAATAGACTATTTTTTTTATGAGCCATTAGCAGAACACAGTAGAACTCTGGAGTACAGGACATTAGGACAACTTTAAAGTTAAGCAAATTAATATTATCTTAGTTCTTATTAATAAGCCAGAAGTCATTTGATCAAAGAAATAGCATTAGATTTAGATTACATATGATTTAAGCAAATCCAATCTGAACTTAATGTGATTTCATTGTAATAACAAGAGATATCCATTTAGCATTCATTTGTGTTCATAAACAGAATAATTTTCTTGTTTCTTTCCCCATTTCAGTGACCCAAATCCATAGGCTCAGACCTTTATTCTCTGTTGACTTTATTGATGCCATCTTTTAAAAAATTCATTACCCAAGAAATGGTAAGCATTTGATCTCAGATTTGTTCAGGTCCATTTAACATTCATTTCAGAACATATTTATTGGTGGATCCCAATGAACGAGAAGAACGTGTGATGGATGGCTTGCTGGTGATTGCCATGAACAAACATCGAGAGATTTGTACTATCCAATCCAGTGGTGGGATAATGCTACTAAAAGATCAAGTTAGTGCTTTGATTAATGTCCCATTAAGAATAGGTTGCTTCTCTTTAGATGCGTTATCTTGTCTTTTAACAAAAATCCAATGTGAATACTTCCAATGATTGATTCTAGGATATGTTAGAATCTGGTTTCGGTACTATCACTATTAAATACATTGTGTAAACTGGTGGCTATGAGGTATCCTCCTCTTTCCTCCCTTGCTGCTCCCATGTCTGTTCTGGTAGAGTCTGACCCTTCCAACTAGCAGGAGGGTCCAGGGAAGAATAAGATTTATATACCTATTAAATAAAAATAAAAAAAACGGCCGAGCATGGTGGCTCATGCCTGTAATCCCAGCACTTTGGAAGGCCAAGGGGGGTGGATTACTTGAGTTCAGAAGTTCAAGGCCACCCTGACCAACAATGGTAAAACCCCATCTCTACTAAAAATGCAACATTAGCTGGGTGTGGTGGCTGGCAGATGCCTGTAATCCTAGCTACTTGGGATGCTGAGGCAGGAGAATCATTTGAACCCAGGAAGTGGAGGTTGCAGTGAGTCAAGATTGCACCATTACACTCCAATCTGGGCAACAAGTGCGAAATTCTTTTTGAATAAAAAAAATTAGCCGAGCTTGATGGCGCATGTCTGTGATCCTGGCCACTAGGGAAGCTGAGGTGGGAGGATTGCTTGAGCCCAAGAGGTGGAGGTTGAGTGAGCTGAGATCATGCCACTGCATTCCAGCCCAGGCTATGGTATGAGATCTGTCTCAAAAATAAACATTTTTTAAAAATACATGCAGTAGTAGAAATTATGTAAAAAGACAGTTTTACTTTTAGAATTGGGGTATAATTGGCAGTAGTTCTCAAACCCAGCTACATATCAGATTCACATGGGAGCTTTTAGAAAATAGATCTCCATATAGCATATAGTATAGGTGATTAAAAGCTGCTTTAGTTTGAATTCTAGCTCTGTCCTCATACTAGCTGATCTTGGGCAAGTGATTTTATATCTTTGAGTCTCAGTTTCTTTATCTGTAAAATAGGGAATGATGTTATTGTCGACACTTCGTTGTTATAAGGATATAAAGATATTGCAGTGTCTAGCATATATTGTGTGCAATTAATGTTAGTTTCTATTATCATCATTTCTTTACCAGCATCACAACTACTACCCAGATTCCTATTTCTGTAGATTACCCAAAAAGAAAGTAAGTTAGTGCATCCCTGAGCATATATGTATCTGTGACCTCTTCTATGGTATCTTTTATACTGTTATGTAAGAAAATTTTCATGTCTGTTCCCTTAATGTGATAGTCCTTTACATATCTTAAAACACCTTTCACATCTTGCCTTAATCTGTGTTTACACTGTATTATTTTCATGTTTAGAAAAGTCAGGCTTAAATTATAAAGGTAGAAAATTTCATAGTTTTAGTTTCTTTAGAGAAAACCTTGGTTTATTGTCTTTAAATACAGAATTCACTTTTATAAATAGGTTTTGAGATGCAGTAAAATTGCTGGTGTGAAAGTAGCAGAAATTACAGAGCTAATACAGAAAGCTTTGGAAAATGACCAAAAAGTTAGGTAAGTAACTTTTCCATAACTACAGTACATGGTCTTTTATTTTTAGTTTTAAAGTTTTTATTTACTTTTTTTTTTTTAGTATAGGCAAGCTTTATTATATATGAACTTTAGAATACCAATTTCGCTTAAAATTAATTCATTAAAAAGTGTAAATACTACAGTATAGATATGTTATCCTAAACTCCAAAAGGTAGTGAAACTCGTAACAGATATTGCTACTCATCTTTGAACAGCTACAATAAAAGTATTAATGAAACTGGTTCCCAGACAAGTATGTACCGCTTGCTACTGTGCCTTAGGGAGGAGAGGGTTTTATAACATAGGTATTTATTGATTCAGTTACTTGTGGATAGTAGCTCCTTATTAACACAGCTAAAATTAGGTACATGTTTTTTACTTTGTGTGGGAGCTGGTGACTCTTGTCCGTTTGTTTTTTGAGAGGTATCTTTAAAGGCATTGGCATCAAACCCGCTTATTGCAAAATGCATCACAGATGGAAATTTAAGCCTGAATTGAGTACAGAATTCCAAAACAAAGAGGAAGGACCCTTCTAAGAGCACAGAGGTCTTCATTGCTCCAGACTCCCAAGACACAACACAGGGAACAGGAAATGGCCCTAAATGGTCTTTTAATATATTTTTTTGTCTTAAGGATCTTCCTTGCAAAAGGGCAACCATATAAATTTCACACTTGATCTTGTTAATCTAAAGTATACTATTTAGTGTTTTTTGAAAGTTGATTGGACTTGTTTATTACATTTTCTGCAATTTAAATAAAACCTATATTGAAAAGTCACATAAGATTTTGTTTTTCTTTTGAGACAGTCTCACTCTTTTGCCTAGGCTATAGTGCAGTTGTGCAGTCTTGGCTCAGATTCTGTTGCCTCAGGCTCCCGAATAGCTCAGACTACAGATGCATACCACCATGCCTGGCTAATTTTGTATTTTTAGTAGAGATGGGGTTTCACCATGTTGGCCAGGCTGGTCTCAAACTCCTGACCTCAGGTGATCCACCTGCCTGGGCCTCCCTCCCAAAGTACTAGGATGACAGGTGTGAGCCCTTGTGCCTGAAGACATAAGATTTTTCTTTAAAAGTTAACATTTTCTTAGGATAAAAATAATCTAGTAACCCAAATTAATGGAAGGAAACATTGATTCCCGTCCATCTCTACTTCTTATTGTGCTATCTTGAGCAAAATATATAACCCAGCATCTCAGTGTCCTCTTCTGTAATATGGGATATTAACATTATCTGGTAGGGCTGATTTGATGGTTAGATAATAGAGTATTTTAACCACCTAGCACATGGTCTGGCTAGGTGAGGCATAGTAAATTGGTGAGGTTAAGTTAGTCAGATAAACTCTCTTTCAGTATTTTTCACCAAACGATAAAATAATAGTTTTCCCTTCCTGTCTTGTATCCAATCTTCCTCCTCCTTCCTTCCCACTAACCTCCCCTACCCCCAACACAGGAAAGAAGGTGGAAAGTTTGGTTTTGCAGAGTCTATAGCAAATCAAAGAATCACAGCATTTAAAATGGAAAAGGCCACTATTGATACTTCGGATGTAGAAGAAAAAGCAGAAGAAATCATTGCTGAAGCAGAACCTCCTTCAGAAGTGTATCTTTATTTGGTGGTTTTTGCAGTAACACGATTCATAACACTTGGCATTATAATATTAGGCTATATGAAGGGTGTGCATACTGAAATTTTGTAAACACTGTACTTTGTTAGAAAAACACTTAAAATACAAGATAGTGATGTGAGTACTATTATGTTGATGGTATAACATTCAACTTTTTTTCAGGTGTCCTGCAAACACCAGATTTTTAAGGACCAATTTTAATTTAGTATTGTAACTAAAATGTTGAGAACCTGTCTCTTCACATTTCTTACTATTAACTGCATCCATAAAATATTGCCTGAGTTAGTTTTCCTTCTTCATTGTTCAGCCATCCATAGTGTAGGCTCTAAGTTTTTTTTCCCCTAGGAACGTGAGGCACACTTGAATCAGTCTTACAGGAAGAAAACTTTTATTACCATCTTTTTCAACAGTCCATCAAATAGCTGTAGTTTTGTTACTCGGTTTTCTTAACTTGTTAAGTGTTTCTAAACCTGTGCTATGGACTCCTGGAACTGCCCAAATTGGAGAAGGAGTAGAAAACTCCTGGGGTGATCTTGAAGACTCTGAGAAGGAAGATGATGATGAAGGTGGCAGTGATGAAGCTATCCTTCTTGATAGTATAAAGATGGACACTGGAATAGAAGTCTCTGATATTGGAAGCCAAGGTAGGTGACACTATGGCACACTTATTACTATTTATTATAGTTATATAGAATATTACCATATAGTTATATATAATGCACAAAATAAGTGTGTATCACTATATATAGTAATAGCATATTAACTATATATAGAGATGTATACTAGATATATACATGGTCTTTTATTTTTTTTTAATTTTTTTTTAGTATAGGCAAGCTTTATTATATATAAAGGATATAGGACACAATATGGAGAATTGTTATATATAGGGATATAAGTATTGCTTTTTTAGAGGGGCTAAATATTGTGATTTAAATTTCAACTAAATTATGACTAACTGCAATTCTAATGATACTAGTAGTGGTACACTTTGGCATAAAATGATAGTGACATTTTTAATTTAAAAAATTTTATATATGTATTTGGGTCAATTTTAAGGGAATGAGTTTAAGATCTTATTCTTGCATGCTGCCTTTTTTTGTAGTTTCTAGACTGAAACAAAAAGCCCATCCCATATTATAACATAATACTGTCTAAATAAAACACTCTGTGATGATAGAAACCTTCTATTAAGTATCTATGCTGGTATAGCAGCCACTAGCCCCACGTGGCTATTGAATGCTTGAAATGTGGCTGGTGTTACTGAGAACTGAATTTTAAATTTTAGTTAAAATTAAGCAGCCACATGTGGCTAATGGCTACCATACCAGACACTGCAGTATTAGAACATAAATTGTACAAATGACTAGAATACTGGTAGTCCTAGATGTTTCATGCATTCTGAAAGCTATAGAACTGAAGAACTTGTTTTTATGTATGGTTATATTTGCTTGTAAAAAAAGCAATTTCTTGCCAGTGTATGTAGTAAGAACAGAAATCCTATAAGGATCTGTGAACTAGGCTGGCAGGGAAAACTGAAGGCAATATGCTTAGTAGGAATGTAATGCAAATACTTCTTAAGGAGATAAATTATTGCTTATGAACATTACTAGAGCCTAAGCTTTTTGTTTAATTATTCAAGTAAATAGGTAAGGAAAGAAATTCCTATTGATTGAGACCCTTATTCAACTTTCCCAGTGGTTACTTCTGTTTGGTATTATTCTTCCAGAACTTGTTCCAGATATTTATTTACTCTCTGTGCAGTGATGTAAGCAAATGCTGCATAGACTTGTATAGCACTGAATATAACAATTCCCTTGTTGTTGAAGATGTAAGTAAGTTGTTTCCATTTTTTCACTGTTATATTTTCAACTGAAAATAATGAAGGTGGACCTATGAACAGGAGAAACCAATTGAAAACTAAAAATACAAAGAATTGATGTGGGTTAATTCACATCTTATATATATCATTACAATGATCAGGAGAAAAACGGGCAAAAGATGTGGAGCAGTTCTCAAAGAAAATACAAATGGCCAGTAATATTTTTTCATGGTCAGTTTTGGTAGTAATACAAATAAATTTTTTTTTTAAATGACATGGCCTTTTTTGTTACTGTATTTTGGGCAATGTTAAAAAATACCAGCAATGCCAAAGGTATGTGGGAAATGGGTTCTTCTTTTATCTCTTGAAGTGTCAATTGGAACTATTTCTGGAGGAATAAAGTAGGGCAAACAATTCAGTTGGCTTCACAAAAGATGATATATACAGTTCCCCCTAACTTTCCTATGATGACATGTGCTAAATTGTCACACCATTTAAAAACCGATAGGAAATAAGAGTTTAAAGGAACAAGTGTTACAGATGAGTTCTAGAGAGCCCTAAGAAGCTGATTTAAAGAGAAAAGAAAGCCTCCACCTGAAGAGTAGCATGGGCTGGCTCTCTGTTATAGGGAAATAAGTTACTCCTGACCTCAGGTGATCCGCCTGCCTCAGCCTCCCAAAGTGCTGGGATTACAAGTGTGAGCCACCATGCCCAGCCCTGGAAATAAGAGTTTTAGAACATCTGATAGAAGTAAACTCATGTGGAAATAAATTTTCCAAGATTAACTTTTTTTTTTTTTTTTTTAAACAAAAATGCTCCCATAATACTCTCAGATAGTGAAGAAGAAGAAATGATCATTTTAGAACCAGACAAGAATCCAAAGAAAATAAGGTAACAAATTTCTGGTTTATTTCAAATGTGTACATATACTGAACACTTCTAGAGGTTTGCTCTCTGGTTTTACTCTCATCTTGCCACACGACTATAAACAAAAAGACTTCCCTTTTTCATTAGACATCCATCTGTTCTGTGATTTACCTTGTGACTTATAAAAATTAGGATCTAATTCTGAAAAACTCTTTGGATATCAGTTTTACTCATAGCTGACACATTTTATATCCTATTGGAAAAATAAGAAATGCCTCTTATTTCAATAATCCAAAACTTAACAAGCATACTCTTAGTAAATTCTTATTTTATATTCACAGAACACAGACCACCAGTGTAAAACAGGAGAAAGCACCAAATAAAAAGCCAGTGAAAAGAAGAAAAAAGAAGAGAGCTGCCAATTAAAGCTAACAGTTGTATATTTGTATATAACTATTAAAAGGATATTTATTCCATTCTAACAATCCTGGGGATTTTTTATTCACAAATCCATTGTAAAATCCAGCAGGATTTTTTAAAATGGTTTTTTTGTTTTTAATGGTATGCTTTGAAATAAACCTTCTGGAGCATTTCTTGTCTGTTAATTTGCACATAAGCTTCCCACCTCTCTCCTGCTCCCAACCTGTTGAGTTTACCCCACAAAACTTAATCAAGTTTTACAAAGAGCCAAAGTCTAGGGATCTCCACTCTACTGGTAAGTACAGATTTATTCCAGATATGCTTCGATTATGCTCAAGTCAGCACATTAATCCAGTTGCTTAGGAAAATGAATGTCAGAATTTGAGAGTCTGTTCCTAAAACTAATTTTAGAGGAAGACTTTTCACTTTCCATTACAGTAAACCAAATTAACTTTTCTAAGTGAAATCCTAAAGAAGTTAAATTTGGCTTGCAAAGTTTTCCAAATCAATTTATTGTTATAATCCTGAGAGCTGGCATCATTAATACTTTAAGAAAACCACTTAAAATTAGCCAAATATCTAAGACAGATACATATACAAAAGATATACAAATTAAAACCATTTAAAAAGTAATGGATACCATAATTTGTACTTTGCCATAACTTCTGTATTCAGAAATGATTGTAAAAACCTAAGTTAAAAACTATACACCATATACTTTGAGTGATTTACATCTTAGAAAGCAAAGGCAGTCTTTCATTGTTACACATTTAGTGTCTCTGGTGGGTTGAGGAGAGAAACACCATGATACCTATAAGTAGGGGAAAAAAACATTTTTAGTAAACATTCACTGGGTAAAGAAGATCATGGAATAATGTATGTGCTCATGTGTTGGAAACTAAAAAATGCTATTTCTATCTGACCGAGTTGATGGTTTTAGAAACATTGTCTAATCCCTGAAATACACATCTGTGCCCCTTCCTCTCCCTTCTCCCCCAGACCCAAGGCAGAAAGCATTAACTACAACCTTCGAACACATAACCAGTTAAGAGAACAGATTCTCAAGGAGGCTATGGAAGATTCATGAATAAAGTTAGAATGTCAAAGATCTCTGAATTATAGTCTAGAAAAGTAGCTTCAATATCCAAGTTAATTCTTACTTTGAATGTTTGTACTTTTCTCTTATTGACTGTTGTGCATGCTGTGGTGCTTTGAGGTAGGTCTGATGAAGGTCCATGAGACAAGGCTTAAGACTTTCCAGGGTATATCCAGTCTTCTGTACTAATGATTCAGGCTACAGAGAAGGGAATAGAGAACCCCTGAGTTTTGCTTTTAGTAACGGACCCCAAACAGAGTTAACAGTTGGCATTAAGTTTATGTTATATTCTAGTACTAATCTTTAACTCTTCCAACTAGTTTTCTCAGGCCACTATTCCATCTCTGAATTCATTTGTTGCTGCTTTCCCTGCCAGCAACAGATCAGAGGCTTTTTAAAAAGTTCACCTTTCAATCCAAGTTACAACTAAGCTTTCCACCTAACAAACAGATGCTGTACAACAGGTAACATGCCTTAAACAGCATATAACCATCCCTCAGTATACAGGAGGGATTGCTTCTGGGACCCTCCCCAAATATACCCAAATCTGTACATAACTTGAGTCCTGTAGTCACCCTTCCATATATATGGGTTTTGAATCCCCTGAATACTGTATTCTCAATCCACATTTGACTGGAAAAAGGTTCATGTATAAGTGGACTCACACAATTCAAACCTGTGTTTTTTCAAGGGTCAACTGTATATATTTGAAGTTTTTCCAAGTAAGAACATCTAGGCAACCCTCAGTTTTGTAGGGCAATTATTTAATCTGGCACAGGCATTTGATTACAAGGTAGGTGTGTGAAGACTGTAAATACATACCCAGCTTTGTCCCGTGACTGTATAGAGTGCTAAATGAAAGGCGGCTCCAGCAATAACTGATGGCAAATACTTCAGATATGGGTCAGCATCTATCAAACTTAATTCTCCCAAAAACTGGAATAAAAAATACTTTATGATCACAAGAGCGTCTAGAATTCAAATCTCAAATCCCTGCCTTCTAATTTTTTCCTACCTTTGATAATGGCTCTGTAGCAACCCTAGAAAAAATATTTCACAGCCTCATCTTTAAACAGATTCACCATTTTAGTGTTTTGCTCCATCCTCATTCTGTATATTCCCTCATTAACTTTTAAAAAACAACTATTCTGACAACCCATTCCCAAGACTTCATCCTTATACCTCCAGTTCTAGTGCTTTCCTGATATAGATTATCTTTTACCAGCAGCAGGCTTTCTTCCATACCGCAGTATCAACCTCCCTCTGAATACTAAATCTCTTTCCCACTACTGTACAAAGGAACTAGGACCTGCCCCTAATTATTACCTAAGAATCGCCATTCAAAATGAAAGTTAACTCACCATTGCTAAACTTTCAACTTTGCAGTTTGCAGGCTGCTGATGCAGAAAGTATTGGGTAAGAAACTGATTTATTGTTGGAGCAGCTAAGTCAAAAGTAAGGACTTTCAAAACTAGATGCTCCATTCTCAGAACTTGTTTCTTGGTGTAGGTATCATCTGTAATGTACACAAACTCTGCTACTTCTGGGGGGTATATTTCTTCAAACTTTCTACAATAAAAAAAGTTTTAAGTAATCAGTCCTAAAAGAGAAGCAAGCTTCCTTATCCCAATTCTGAAATCCCATTAGCAGAATATATGGAATGAATCCAAAACCCACACCAACTGGATTTCCAGACACTTGATCATCATTTCTAGCAGAGACTGGATAGCTAAATGCTAATTAAAAGGTCCAAATCAATGAGGCACTTTTGAGGTATTTTCCCAGTTCAGTCAAAGGAAGTAAATGAAAGGCATGAGACTTCTCAAGATGGAAACAATCCAGAGTTCACCAAGTAGCTGAAAATTTAGGAAATACAAGTCCTAAGAAAACATATTTTGTTTTCATTTTTAAGTTTAGTTTTCCCTTTTTTCTTTTTTTTGAGACAGAGTCTTCCTGTCACCCAGGGTAGAGTACAGTGGTGCGATCTTAGCTTATTGCAACCTCCAGCTCCCAGGTTCAAGTGATTCTCCTGCCTCAGCCTCCCTAGTAGCTCAGATTACAGGCTTGTGCTATCATGCCTGGCTAATTTTTTGTATTTTCAGTAGAAATGGGGTTTTGCCATGTTGGCCAGGCTGGTCTCAAACTCCTAACCTCAAGTGATCCACCCATCTCATCCTCCTAAAGTGCTAGGATTACAGGCATGAGCTACCATGCCTGGCCTTTACTTCTTAATGAAAGAGACACTGCTTATATGCCAGAAAGTACTTTAATATTGGAAGGAAAATGTTTTAAAATTTGTAGAAAGTACTTTAATATTGGAAGGAAAATGTTTTAAAATTTGTAATCTAGTGTACTATATATAATGTAGACAGTCTGTTTTCATTCAAGGAATCCAGATAGGGGAAAATTAGGGTTCTAGATTAGAACACAGTTTCATCCTACTCCACTCCAAGCCCTACCACACTGCCATCCCTAAAGTAGTCACTGACTCTCTGCCTGGTATAATATTAAAAGGTCACCATTAAAAATCAATTTCTTCCCTAAACAAAAGGTAGTGATAACTTTTAATCAAACAAACCTAGGTAGACTTACGAGGCTAACAGCATAGCAGCAGTGCCCACAAGCTGAAGCTTTCCTCTCAGCACGGACATGGACGAAAGGAACCTATCAATGTAGTTCACAGCCAAATGCAGGGTCTCATTCTGTAGTTTATATTCTTCTCCTACTTCAACTAGCCAGTCCACGAGGATAGCTCTCATACTGTTAGTGATGTCTGGCTGTTTCTTCATGTAACCCACTTTAGGTTTACATTTAACCTATTGAGAAAATTATTTAGTAGTGTTAAAATTGCAATTAGATTATTTTATCATGAATTAAGAGAGGCTACATGCTATAAACTTAAGTGTATCATTAAAATAATTCATTAGCAGTTTAAAAACAAACATCCTCTTAATTTCATTTAGCCACATTTAACAAATATACAAACTGGATTCAGAGAACTTTTACCTCCATTTCCCTAAGGTATGTGTGAATATCCTCATGGTAGTCTGGTACTTCATTAACACTCACTGGCTTTTCATCTTCTAATACAATTGACATGTCCATAGTATGTGGTGACTCTGGGACAATTCAAAAGGTATGATCAAATTAATTGTTTGATTTGTCTATTTAGTTTAACAGCTAAAAATGACTGCCCTTGTAAGGAATCTTATATTAGCAAAGCACTTATTTCATCAAACTAAAAACAGCTTCTCATGATGAAATATGTAGAATATTTTACCCTAGTCTTAGTATCTCTGTACATATATCTTTGGGATGATATTAGTTAATGAGGAAAAAAAATACATTGGTAGGCCCCTAACAGGAAAACGAGAATCATATATTATCTTAAAGTATTCGTCTTCCATTACAGAAAGGAGCAGATGGCATGGTGGTTCTGTTAGGATAGAGCACTTAAAATCCAAGTTGTGAGATAATATCTAAGATTTGCCCTAATGCAAATCCCAGAGTCTGACATATACAAAGCCCAATTAGGCAATAGCTAGAATCAGTTTAATGGTCTCCATTAACAAGTGTTATTAAGAAATTAGGTTTGTTGCCGGGCTCGGTGGCTCATGCCTGTAATCCCAGCACT